CTCACTTGCTTCACAACTACTTTCATAAGGTCATATTTCATCCCACATAACTGGGTCTGATATTAAAATCCAACCACTATCTTCACTTCACAAAAGCAGTAGTCAGAGACTTTCCAGGTCCCTGGCAACAAACAGGCCAAGGATCCTGGTATGAATCTGAAAGTTCATACACTCCAGCAAACTCTACAGCATTTTAAAGGACAACATAACTTCACTCAAAAGACGAGCAGTTAAGGACCTGTTAAACTGTTAGCATTTTCTGTTACTGTTAGCTATGAATAACCTTGGAGCAAATTATTCCTCCTTGGACCTCCAACTAACAAGTTTCCTTGGTTTTCTGTCATACCAAACTGGATAAAAAGAAAGGGACAGAAACTCAAACACTGAGGGAAGAAAACAAACACTGATAAGACAGAATGAAAAAATAAAAAGATCCTCAGTATCATTCCTGTAGCTGTATTAAAGGTGTTACAGCCTCAAGTGATCTTCCTTCCCCAACTGGCCTGTTGATGTTGCCCAACCTCCTCTGCTTCCCATCTCTTGCCTGCCAGGATTTTTCTGTTAGATATATAAAAGGGGAGGCTGCTTATGGAAGCTAGGGTGACCAACTCCTTGGTACCTGTTGCCTGTGTCCTCTCACCCAACAGGCATACACCCTCTTTAGGATGTGGTCACCTTTGGAGCTAGAATCGTGACCTCTAGCCATCTCATAGTCACACCCATGCCTCCCAAATGACACTCAGTAGCCCCTTTGTAGCAACCTCTACATCCAAAACCACCCTGAGCCCCTTGGGCCCCAAGACCCTTGTCTTTGCCTACCTGGCTTCAACCTTCTTTATCTGGCTGAGATTTCTGGAGCCCAGATCCACTGCCTCGGACACTAGCTTTCTGAATCTCATCCCATGGTCTTCTCCCTCCCTTCCATCACAACTCAGTCCTCTGATCTTAAGCATTATTAAAATACAAACACAAGCAACCCCCTCTCCGAAAAGTCATAGAATCATAGAAAATTAGAGTTGGAAGGGACTTCAGGAGGTCACCTAGTGCTCAAAGCAGGACAGTCCCCAACTATCTGATCCCAGTCAAGGCTTTCTCTACCCAGGTCTTAAAAACCTCTAAGAATGGAGATTCCATAGCCTCTCTGGGTAACCTGTTCCAGTGTTTTACTACCCCCCTAGTAAGAAAAAAATTCCTAATATTTAACCTAAACATCCCTTGCTGAAACTTGAGACTAATGCTCCTGTTTCTGTCATCTGACACCACTGAGAATGGTCTTGCTCTATCTTCTTTGTAACCACCACCCTCAGTATTAAATCCTTCCTGAGACTTCTCTTCTTCAGACTACATAAACCAAGTTCCCTCAGCCTCTCCTCATATGTCATGTTTCCCAGTCCTCTAACCATTTTTGTTGCCCTCTTCTGGACTCTCTCCAATTTGTACACATCCCTTTTTTAGCGGGGGCCCAAAACTGGCCTCGTCAGTGCTGAATAGAAGGTAAAAATCACTTCCCTTGACCTGCTGGCAACACTCCTACTAACATAGCCCAGTATGCTGTTATCCTTTTTCACAACAAGGCCATACCCATATTCAGCTAATTGTCCACTGTAGCCAACAAGTCCTTTTCTGTAGAGCTGCTGCTTAGCCAGTCAGTCCTCAGTCTGTACTAGCTCATGAAATTGTTCCATCCTAAGTGCAGGACTTTGCACTTGTCGCTATTGAACTTCACAATATTTCTTTTGGTCCAGTTCTCCAATTTGTCTAGGTCTCTCCTAGCCCTACCCTCCAAAATATCTACTGCTCCACCCAGCTTGGTGTCATCCACAGATTTGCTGAGGGTGCGCACCATATTCCAGGTTATTGATGAAGGTCATTGATTCCAAGGTATTGAATAAACCAGGGCCCAAGACATACCCCTGGGGCACTCTGCTTGATACCAGCTGCCAATCAGACATTGAGCCATTGATTACTACCCTTTGTACCCAAAGGATACCTCACTGGTTCCTTGCCTCACCACATACCCTAAGTTCCCCTTGGGTTTCTTCTTGCAGTTCTGGGAGGGAGTGGAGGAGAGGACTACGTAAGCAATGGCTAGTCTGTCTCCTGAAACCCTCTCCTTCAGGAAATCCACTCCCTGCTACCTTCTAGATCCTGTTTTTTTGGGCTGCAGAGCTCTACCCTTTCCTGTCAGCTGGCTCTCTCTCCAGCTATACACAGGAATTTCTGCTCTGCATGATAGTTAACCTGAGCCAAGCTGCAGCAGGTGAGGACCTGCTGCAGCTCAGCTCAGCTGCCTCTACTTGGCCTAACAAGCACACAGGCCAAGACAGCTTTCCTATCATTCTCCACTGAAACTGCCAAACCCTTCCTCAGGCTGCTATCCAAATGACTTAATCAATCTGAAATTTATTCCATCAGGAGTGAGCATCAGCAATCACCCTACTTTGAAAAAAATCATGTGTTTGGGAAGGCTCCAACATGTGGATGCACTCTACCTATAATCACCAGTCAACAGCCTTAAGTGCAGTCCCAGATTTCACATTTACTCATCAAGTAGTACTGAACGTAATTAAAAAGTTGCAATCCAAAACTAGAGAATCCCACCCAAAAACTTCCAGGCATGGGAAAGAAAGTTGTTGGCAAGTGATACAACTCATAACCAAAATACACATCTTATTATTCAGAAAAAAAGCCTTTCCTTCCTCTTTCAAACATGTAACAGTCCTACTAGCACTGAAGAATCCTGTTCTGCATGTATCACTTCCATGAGTCATAGAGCCCTGAAAAGATCAATGGTTTCTTTAGTACCTTTCAACATCTGCATGCATCCACTAGGTAATTTGTTTCTGACCAATAGCTGGCACCATGAATTCAAATGCCAGTAATATGGAGAAGACACACAGCTTTACATTTTCTTTGCTAATGTGTCTATTACCAAGATCCCTTCATGCTCACATTATAAAGATGACTCACATCAGGTTGTGAATGAAGAACAAACAAGACAAGACATGTACAAAGAAAAACATTCTGAAAAATTTGTAGCCAGGAGGTAATGGCCTTTGTTTGAAGAGACACCCGCAGTTAACTATTTCATTATATAGTTTAGGAATTCTCTTCAATTTTTTGCTGACACTTTCTCTCATAGCAGCCTACATGAGTAATGTTTTTTACCACTTTCAGTTGACTGAATCCCACCCTTGCAAAAGATGACCTAGCCTCTGTATTCATGCCTTTATTGTCCCCTGGCTAGACTACAGCAATACAAAATATTTGCTCATGAAGCCTGCAGTAGTCAGGCAACTCCCACTCTTAGAGAAAACTGCAACATGTCTCCTCAGCAGCACTGGCTAATAAGGGTGTGCGAAGTGGGCCCTATTCGATTCAGATTCAACCCAAATCAGGGACAGTGATTCAATTAATTAAATCAGATCACTGTCCCTGATTCAATTCAGCTCAATCCAAATCTGAAGATTAGATGTTGATTTAGAGAATCGGTGATTCCGACACAGACATAGCTTTAAATGTTTTTTCTACATACCTCAAGGTACCAGCGTGGCTTGTGAACACTGTGGTGCTGGGGTGGATGGAGTGTCCCACAGGAGTGGGGAGGGGGCCTCCACATGCTTGGCAGTGAACCCAAAAGTGGGCCAGAAGTACTTCTGGGCCCCTTCCGGGTCTGCTGCCGAGTGCGCTGGGGACCCCCATGCTTCTGTGGGACACTCCATTCACCCCAGCACTGCAGCATTCATGAGTTTCCTGCTACCTAGAGGTATGTAGAAAAAAACATTTAAAACTGTGCCTATGTCCAAATCACCGAATCTCTCTGAATTGATTTGGAGGGTTCGATTCAATTCAGAGAGATTAAAGGGTCCTTTGATTCAATTCATATTCAGAGATTCAGCCACCGAATCAGGCCAAATCTCCACCAAATCGAATCAGGGACCAAAGCTTCGCACAGCCCTACTGGCTACTGAGAGTACAAGAAAGTTGGCTGATACTTTGTCTTCCTAGAATTTTGAATCATGTTCATGATCTATGTCCTTATTGCAAAGCATATCATGGTTTGAGCCAATGTTATCTAAAAGATCACCTCAAATTCTAGGTTGAAGACCCTGGTGCAAAACTTCACTCTATAACATGAATAAATCTCATCTGTGAGACAGAACTTTCTCAGGGGCTAGTTTAAAATAAATATTATATTTACTGATAAAGTAAAACAATGAAGCGGATATGGAGCTCCCCTTCGAGACTGCTGCCTCAGACAGCAACTGTTAATGACCATCACTAACCTTATCACCTTCTGCTACAAGTGCAAACATTTTTTCTTTGACTTTGCTGTCTCTAATGTAAACACTTATCAACACATATATCTGAAAACAAAGTAAACAAAAAAAAGCCCCTACCAAAACCAAAGCCAACTGCACATATTTGTCTCTCTAGGGAAATGCTGAGAGAACATACAACCATGCACAATGTTAGATACACTGCTTAATGCTCCACTGACAAAAGCTCAGATACTGTAGTGATGACTGTACTCTAAGAACTTATATAGAACAGAGAGTTGTTATTAAACTTAGATATTTATCTAATAAATACTGACACTGGATTACACGGCATTATTTATCTTCAACAAACTTCTGAACAATCAGTCACAGGATATCAATATATATTTTTTACTTAGCTTAGTAATTTGTGTTACATTTATAATCCCTGATCCTGAAGATGCTAAGGACTGGAACCTTAGCAGATGTAAACTAATCTAGTTCTACTTGTTGCCAGTCTGGTATAAATCAACATGTATTAGTTTATATATTAACTGGTATAAATAGACATAAATCTATTGACTTCAGACTAAGACTATGACTGTTCAAAGCAATGGTAAGCATAAAGTGGCCTTTCTTCTGTTGTCCTGTATATTTTAAAATGAAAACTATGAGTAGATGTTACTTTGTTCTATTCATACGAAAAAATTATAATTGCATTTCTTAATTACATTTCTATAGGGCACTTGCTTGGGCTTTCACATGATGATTCCAAATTCTGTGAAGAGAACTTTGGCTCCATGGAAGATAAACGTTTAATGTCCTCCATCCTAACAGGCATCGATGCTTCCAAACCCTGGTCCAAATGCACTTCAGCAACAATAACGGAATTTTTGGATGATGGTCATGGTATGTATTAATATGTCTTATGTCAATGGCTGGTTTCTGTTGGGCACACTCTTACTATATATCATCAGCTCTTTTTATAGAACATTTCTTTCTTGTGGGATGTCAGTAACAGACTTTGCCATTCTCTGTTATTTTGAGTAATCTGGGTGCATCTACACATGCAATTAATTTAAAGCAATAAACTGCAGAGCATTTTGAACCAAAGTAAACTACTCCTGGGTGCAGTGTCTACATGTGCGCCCAGGACAGCAGCAATTTAAGCTGGGGCAGAGCATTTTACACCAGAGCCAAGGGCATAGGTAGTCAGCCCCGAGCTCCATGTGGTAGTGTTGGGCAACAGAGGAGCTGGTTGGGGCACAAGGGTGCTGAAAGCATGTAGTCGTGCGGCTAGGCAGCAGGCAGACATCTGGCCCCCTGCTGGCTGAGCGAACCTGGTGCGATTTACACCCATGGTCAGCATCCACACATGCGTTTAATTGCAGTTAAGTACTCCACCATAAAATAGTACTGTCCCCAACTGTACTATCTTATGGTGACATTAATTAGCTTCCTATGGCCTAATAGTGCTGCCTGTCTAGACAATGATGCTTTACTCCGCAGCTAATTAGTCTACCCCGCAGTTAAGTGCATGTGTGTATGCGGCCACCTTGTAGAACCAGCTATAATCTAATGTGATGTAGGATACAGCCCCGTTTGACAGATGACATTATGGCACAGTTCAAAATAGGATAGAATACAGGTAGCTTATTGACAGTACTATTTTAGTTGTACTATTGATTAAATTTGGTTAATAACCACTTTATTAGTCTAGTGCAGGGGTAGGCAACGTTTTTTGGCTGAAGTGCTGAAAAATCTACAATGTCTACTTTGGAAGGTGCCTGAGAACTGACATGCCGAAGCAGCTGTTTGCAGCCTCCCAGCTGCAGCCAGCCCACGGGGCCCAGTCTGCTTGCAGCAAGGCTTGCAGGCTCTCAGCCGCCTGCTGGGAGCAGCCTGGGCTCCATGGCTGACAGCAGTTGCTTAGAGCCCGGGCTGGAGGTGGTGTGCCGAGCAAAATGGCCTTGCATGGCATGCTTGTCATGTGTGCTGGGGGTTGCTGACCCCTGGTCTAGTGTTTCCAAACAGAGATCATTTTTCCCCAAAATATACACAAATAACTTACCTCCTCATCACATACAGTAAATTTGCTAAATGCTACTTTATTTTAGGATATACAAGGGATGCTCTAAACAATTAGAGGCCATGTTAGTTAATCTTCTGAATTTGTTGTTATTTATATCATGGAATTGTCTGACTGTCCCAAACACATAGCAGGACTTCTGCATGCTCCTGTGTAATAAAAGGAAAGCCCCTAAGCTGTTCCACCTGCTACTCTGCTAATGTCATCATATACCTCTAGGTAGGAAAAGCCCATACATTTTCTTCTAAAAAAATACTTTTTTCCCCTAAAATAAAGCATGATCTGTAATCTTAAATGAATTTTAAAGTATTCATTCTGCTCCCAAAGCAACTGCAAACCCATTCAAATTCCAAAATGCTGAGATGAAAATGACATAATTGAATAAATGGATCAAGTTGTTATGGTAACTGAAATACTTATGGTTAAAATGTACCATTTGCCTGAAGAATGTAAAGGATTTTTTTTAAAGCAAGGAAAGTAAATATTTTTTTGGCTAAGTTCAGTGCTGTCTAAAATGTTTTATCCTATTATCATAGCTGGAGAATTACTTCATTTTTTCTCTCTCATTTTTATTAGCTCTATTAATCTATGCTTGTCCTATTTTATGGTACATGTTGCTTTGGCATTGGTTTGATTTTAACAAGTTACTTTCCACATGTGTGAGAGTAGATCTTTCCTTTTCAAGTTTTACATCACTTTTATTGCCCTTTTGATCTCACTCCTAGTGCTCATTGTGTATGCATGAGTAGAACAACAAGAGGACCTCACAATCAATCTATAGTAAAGGGGTCGTAGCTGTTTTACCTCTCAGGGAAGACCAAAGAAGTCAGACAGCCATAATTTCTCCTTTCCTTATTGTTGTGGAGAAATAATAAGTTACTTCCTCATTTTTTCATAGAGGTTCTTCCTCCCATTGCCTAGCCATCTACCTAGCCAGCTAATGTCCAACAACCATGAAAAGGAAAGACAAGGCTCTTCTGCTTCCCTCACTTCCAGCTCACACTGAGAAGCCCTTCTGAGTTGTCCCTGCTGTCTTCCCCATGGTTGGAAGAAAACGGAGTAAAAAAAAACCTTTGACAATCACACCCAACATATTTAGTCATTCAAGCTTTGTTATTTATTTCTATGGGAGGAAGATAGGGCCTCAAGTTATTCCAATTCCCTTACAATGAATGATACCCTAGTGCATAAGAAATCCCAAGGAGAGTACAGATCTCAGAACCTGGCTCTCAGTTAACAAAATTGAATTAGAGTGCATTGCCCTTTCTCACTCTGGTGAGTTAGTTCTCAAAAGTCTCAAGGAAATCATAAATATGGTAAAAGATTCATATGCTGGCCCTTAATCCGGTAGTATTCAAGAACCGATTCCATGCCTGACTGCATCCGAATGATAGTACAATTCCTATGGAAGCTCAGGAAGTCTGTTCACTTGATCAACTGGGCTTTCACAGACATCTTTTCCAGGCAAAAATCACTTTAATAGCTAATAGCTTTTGCAGACATTCTGTTGCTTCCAGTATGTGGGTGGGTGGAATCTTTTATTTATTTTAAAATCAAATATCTGCATTGACAGAAAATCAGTAGAATCTATAAACTAAAGCAAAAGCAAATCCAGTCACCCAAATTGTTAAACTTCTCCAAATAATAATATTATAGAGGCACTTGGTATATGTAAGGGGTCTGTCCCTGGGCAGTTGGGTAGGTCATCTATATGATGAGGCAGGATAAAGAAGCCAAAGTCAGGGACCAAGTGGGGAGACAACCAGAATCCAGGGGTGGGCTGACTCAGGAACTAGTGTCAGGAAGGCAGTGTTGAAGTCAGAAGCCAAGGTCTGGAAAATAAGTAAGGATTTCAGGGCCGAAATCCTAAACCAAAGTCAGACTTGTCCATTTGAAGTCAGAGTCAGGATTTAGGTAAGGATTTTCAAGCAGGCCAGGAGCCTAACAAAGTGTTTCATGTCCAGACAACTTGCTGCTGGGCTTGTGGCTTCTCTACTCTGGGCTTTTAAGGGCCTGTGTGGTAAGGCCTTCTTCCTGTGGCCCTGAGAGATGACCCAGCTTTTTCCTGGACCGCTTCCTCCAGCTGAGCATGAGGCTTATTACATCATGTCCATATTAATAATGTTATAGTATACGATATTAATACTACTATAAATATGAACATTAGTGCCCCTCCATCCCAATTTGCTGATCTCACAGATTAACAGTTCCCATTTATTGACTATGCTAAAGCATTCATGTACAAGTGTGGCATCTGTTCCCTGTTAAGTGATGAAATGTGCTATCAGACTGAGGTAAATGAAGAATAGATAGATCAGATATACAGAAGTACCAAATTTTCAGGGTTCCCTCTGTTAACTTTTTGACTCTTTCCCACCATCACCTTCCCCCACACTTTCTTTTGAAGAGGACTTTTATTCCCTTGCAGAGAAAGGAGAAGGCTTAAAACTTTCAAAGTACTACCAGACAGAAAGACTCTCCCATTCATCCACACCAATTGTGTGATACAGTGCTGCAGCACAAAATAGAAGAGGGGATACCTTGGAGATTACACGACAGCAGTTTCTAATGAATGAGAGAGTATGGCTCTCCATATACCTGAATTGCTCTCAGATTGTTTGCCTGTGACTGACTGGCTTTTATTTGGACACAAGAGATCTATTATGGGAGATACTATAGAAAAACTAGACACCTTTTATTCTTTGGAACATAACCAAAGGAGTTTGCCTTGTCATTTGTTTCGGCCAGACAGAACCTGATGAACCACACACTCTGACAAATAGAGCGTGTCAAGACTAAAGTGAGGAAGTAAATAAGTAAAGCATAAAAGAATGAAATGGAAATTAAATGTAAACTGCTAGACTTATTAGGATTTCTTCAAAAAAAAAGAAGAGCAAGTATTTCAGAAAGGCTTTGTTTAATAGTTTTTTTTTATCTATTTACAATACTTCTGTGGTCCTCATTACCATATGATCTTAACACCTCGTACCTTTAATGTATTAACCTTCATAAAATTCCTGCAAGAAATGAAGTCAGACTATTGCCATTATATAGACTGGGAACAGAGAGTTTTAGAGCAAGTCTACATGTCTCAGACCATACTAAGACCTGCCACTGCAAAAACAAATCCCACCCTGTTTCTCCTCCATACATACCAAATAAAAAAATGAAAAGTGCTTCCTGTTATAGCAGCATAGGGTGCACCCTGGACATGTACCAAACAGTGGTTACACTTCATGGTGAATGTGAAGTGGGAGTGGGAGTGGGAATGGAGAACTGTGAAAATATCTGTACTGTAACTAACCTCATCATTCAGATCTGCTAAAACAGACACAGAACTGAATGTTATTGGCATCTGATGGTAATGTGTGCCAAGGCACTTTGTTACCCCTCCAAAGCTGTTCTGCAGGTGGGAATAGCAGAATAAACCCCTGCAGGAGGCAGATGAGCAGGCCATAAATTCCAAGGAACAGAGGTTGTTTTTATGCAGAGCACCAAGAAAAGTGACTGCAAGCAACAGCAATAATAGAGGTTGGCATTGCCCACAATAAAGCTGATTAGTGTGTAATAATAGAGTGATAATAAAGGCAAATGGAAAGACAAATTTTTCCTGTGTTCTGGAAAATAACTAGGCCTTTCTTTTGCAATATAAAACTGGTGGCTTTGATGAATTCAAGAACATAAAATGCAATTAATGAAAAAGCAACTGAATCATGACAGTGATTAGAGTTTTCTGCCACAAAGTGAGGAAACTGGTGTTCAATTTCTTGCTCCTCCAGATGGTGGTTTTCAGTGGTGAAAACATGGCCCCTCTGATACTGGGGTTTGGATAAGTGCTACAGGCTGAAGTTCAGTCACTCTGTATAAGACAGAGTAAGAATATGTACCCTTGTGTCTTGTGATCCTGCTAAGAAATAGTGGAGGTGCCAGTGTAGAAAAAAATTAACGGCCACTAACACATCGCCTAAACTTGAGTTCCCACTGTTGCTCTGTTGCTATTTAAGTAGCACAACACTAAACATTTTAAGAAAAATTCTCTATAAACAGGGCCTTAGGAGCTTCCCCTTCTCATCTATCATTTGTGTTTATCTAGAGGTTTTATTTATAGTCTCTAGATATGTTTGTTCTGGGGCCTTTTCAGTAGACAGAACTCACCTACTTTCCATGTCTTCTGACAAAACTTGAGCTTAATGATTTTCAGGACATGGAGTAAAGTCTATTTATAACCCAGAAAAGAGGTTATAATGAAATTTAAATGTGTTAACGAACATGACTAATAATTCTAATGCATACAAAGACACAAACCCAATGGTTAATTTAAATAGAAAACACTACTTGTGCTGTCGAGTATTTTAGTGTGAGAAAATGATGTACTATTTTTGTCATATTATAAAACAAAGGTGGGCAAAATATGCCCTGTGGTTCACCAGGTGACTGGATCTGGCCCACAGCTACCCCCGTGGTATGCCCTGTATGCTCACACCAAGACAGCCTGCATTAGGCTCCCACTGGCCCAGATCCTGACCAGTGCTCAGCTTCTGATGGGGCTGTACCCAGTGTAGCTGCAGCTGTGCTCACACCCCCCACCTCTAACACTGGTTCCTGCTTCTGATCTTGCCCCTGCCACGTTGTGCTGTGCTATGCCATGCCACTCTGGGTGAGCAGTTTCAGCTGGGTGACTCCTACCGCAGTGTACGGGGCTCTGGCTTCAGCTCCTGGCCACCTTCCACTGGAAGGCGGCCAGGATCTGGAACCAGAGCCCTGTGAACCTGCCAGGAGCAGTGCAGCATGGTGCAGCAGGAGAGGGAGGAGCTGCTGTTGGAGTGCAGAGCAGCACCTGGCCCAATGCAGCTCCACTAGGAACATCCCCCTGGAAGCTGCTTCTGCCCTGTCTGCATCATGACATGTTGTACCAGACAGGCAGGAAAGCAACTCCAGCCAGGCAGCTCCTGACCCAGGACTGGAGTTTGGCTTCAGTTTTCAGGAGCTGGAGCCAGAGTCCCATGCACTGGGCCAGGAGCCCAGCTAAAGCTGCTCACCCAAAGCGATGCAGCTCTGAAGGGGCAAGATCAGGAACTGGAGCTGCTGCTGGAAGCGATGGGTGCAGAGCAGCACTCGGCTGGGCTGTGAGCACCAGCGCAAGTATAGCATGGGCTTCTGCAGTGTGAGTAGGTGGGGCTTGGCCTCGTGGAGTGCCACAGGAGCCACTCAGACCACACAGTCTAGGCTAGCTCTGCTGCATATACCCCCTGCCACTCCCTCCCTCCCCTCATCCACAGCAGGCTCCTGGGACTTAGTGCTCAGGCACCCACCCCCCTCCACAGACACACACACATGTACATACTCCTCCACAATCTTCTTCACACATACCCCACACCCTAGAGGGCACGTGATCCCAGGTTCTCCTGCCCTTCCCACTCCTGAATACTGCTCCACACCCATCCACAGCCCTATAGGGGGTTTTGGTGAGTTATTGGGGGTGGGGGGCAGAGTGCTCACCTGGCCTGCAACAGGTCATCAAAACTCCCTATGTGGATCTCGGGCCCAAATAATTGCCCACCTCTGTTATAAAACATTGAATAGTTGACACACTTAACTGTGATAATCACAGTATACATCCAAGACTTTTGAAAAGCTTATCCCCTCCCTCACTACTAGACTTTTTGCTGGCTTTTTCTATCAGCACAAATCAAATGGAACTGGTGGAAAGATTTGGACAGTTGCAGTTCTTTATTTTTACTGAACATGATTCTGACAGACATTGCTGCCAGTCCTGATTTTCCTTTTAGAAATCCCAGTGGTCTATTTGATAGAAAACATCTGTGCATCCTCGCTCCATACTATGTCTTTAATATTTTATGCCACAATACATATTGCACAGTAGGCTATTTTTAATGATCTTTATCTTATGGCACTAGCCCATCAATTAGCAGAGGCAAACCACATCTTCATTAACAAAAGACAGTATCTTCCAGACTAAAGATAAGATCTACATATTGAGTAAGGCAGGGTCATGAGGGGACAAATGAAGCAACAGACTTAACTGGATTGAACTTTTTGGTAATAAATAAGTGATGATACTGAAAGGATTTTTGGCTAAATGTTGCTGGCAGGAGACTTAAGACCTTAGTGGTCTTAAGGGAAAGCAAACAATTTCAGTAAATGTATTCCCTTAAAGGAAACTAAATCTGTTGATTGTTTTGCTGGCCCTCCCTGCTTTTTCTTTTTAATATAAGAGCTAAATCAAGTTTGGAAACATACTACATTACTTTGAATTTTTATTCAACTTTATAAACTGCTTTACTCTCTAAGTACATATATATTTTTCATTCATGATCAAGTCCAGATGGTGCTGATGTTGTTTGTGAAGTGAGATAAGTTGTGGTAAGTTACTTTGGCTAAGGATAAGTGTACCTTACCCATGCTACATGCAGCACACACGATGTGACAAGGTCCATAATTCCATAGTTCTTCATGTCAGTAAATGAGTCCATCAGTGGTATAAACAAAATTCATTAAAACAGGATTCCACAGAAATCTGAAGGTGACTGTACATTTTCAGTATGTGTGTGCCAGGCAGACTTTGACTTCCGCAAATAACTGAAATATGCCTTTATTCTGTGTTATGCCCTTTTTATTTCAAAATTAACAGAACTCTTCAACTAAATCTAGATGTCATTCCTATGAATGGAAGCCCAATGCTAATTTACCACTGACATTACTTTTGATATGCTGCTTGTTGGGTTTTTTTCATTTGAACTGATTTTCTGGTTTGGTTTTGGGTTTTTTTATGGGGCTCAGTTGGCTACAGATCTATTTTTTATACTTTTCTGGCTCCCCTTTAGAAGCTTTACTTCTCCAAGTATTTTGGCTCAAACTTGAAATGACAGCTTTGCTTACTTTACATGTCTTTTGGATTTTGCCTTAAATCATGGACTGATAAATAGAATGAATCCCATTTTGAGGGAACTCAGATACAGTGTAACAGCACACAAGTCTCAGACTTTTTCACTGACATCCATTCTACAGATTGCTTGAGGGTGATAAGCATTTTCAGTAACTTGTCCACTATCTTTTTGTCAGTTTACCTTAACTGTACAACCAGGGAGCAGCAAGGAGGATGGCCAGAGCTAGACCTGCTGCAGCAGTTGTGCCAACTAGACAGGCATCGGAAGCAACTGCCATACATGTGTCCTCTCTAAATGGACATCTGGGGATGGTGTCCTGGTTGCCCACCAGAATTCATGACAAACAGATTTTGACACCTTGTAGCCTTTAGGGAGAGAACCTAGTTTATAATCAGTAACAGTATGTGAAATGGGCCGTATTCGATTCAGATTTGGATTTGTCCCGACTCGGGGACAGTGATTTGATTCGCTGATTTGGAACACTGTTCCCGATTCAATTCAGCAGAATCTGAATCTGAAGATTCAATGCTGATTCAGAGAATCAGTGATTCAGACATAGACACAGCTTTAAATGTTTGTTCTGTATACCTCGAGGTACCAGGTGTGGCTCGTGGTACTACAATGATGGGGCAGATGGAGCATCCCACAGGAGCACGGGGAGGACTCCTGCGTGCTTGGCAGTGAACCCAGAAGTGGACCAGATCTACTTCCGGTCCACTTCTGGGTCCATCGGGGAGTGTGCAGGGGGGGACCCTGGGTGCCTCCCCCCCCGACCCAGGAAGCACCAGTCACCAAGCCAAAGAGGGCATGGGGGGAATCCCCCATGCGCTCCCCGGCAGACCCGGAAGTGGACCAGAAGTGCTTCTGGTACAGTTCCGGGTCTGCTGCTGAGCATGCTGAGGACCGCACCCCAGCTTTGCCCCCTGGCTCCATCTGTCCCACCTTCGCAGCATTCATGAGCCCCCTGGTACCTTGAGGTATGTAGAAAAAACATTTAAAGCTGTGTTTATGTCCGAATCATCAAATCTTTCTGAATCTCTCTGAATCAATTTGGAGGGTTCCAATTCGATTCTGAGAGATTAAAGGGTCTCTTGATTTGATTTGGATTCGGAGATTCGGCCACCAAACCAAGCCAAATCTCCACTGAACTGAATCAGGAACCAAAGCGTCACACAGCCCTAATAATCAGGTGATCCAAAGCCTACTGAAGTGCCTGAGATTCTTTAATGACTCCACTGGAGATCTGAATTGGGTCCAAAATCATTATAATTATGTTCAATTTGAATGCTAGAGGCAAAGATAATAAACAGTAAAATGAGTAGTGAATTGGATTTTTCTTTTAGGTAACTGTTTACTGGACCAACCAAAAAAGCAGATCTTAGGCCCTGAGGAGCTTCCAGGACAAACTTACGATGCCATTCGGCAGTGCAAACTGGCATTTGGGCCTGAATACACAGTGTGCCCTGGTATGGATGTATGCTCTCGCCTGTGGTGCGCAGTCGTTCGCCAAGGTCAGATGGTTTGTCTGACCAAAAAGTTGCCTGCTGTGGAGGGGACACCATGTGGAAAAGGAAGGATTTGCCTCCATGGAAAATGCGTTGACAAAACAAAGAAGAAATATTATTCGGTATGTTTCAGATGTAAAATTTCAAGCCATGAGGAAAGTCAGACAGCCTTTTTCTGTAAGGTGCTAATTTAGTGGGAGTCACAGTGGCCAGGTTAGGCCCTTTGCCTATAGTTTCAAATCTACCGTATTTTTATTTGATATGTAACTGACCTTAACCTTATCATGTCAGAAAAATGGTGCTGAATATTAGGGAGTATGTTTTCTGCCCCTAAAGCACTGGATGTTTTACTCTGACAGATTGGAAATGTTCTTTAAAAATATAGGCTTTGATTCTGCTGTGAGCCAGGTTTCAGGAGAGATGGAGGATTTATCTCTACCAAGAAGATAAGAGATGTGAAAACATGTGTCCTCATCATATAGTCTCAACCTGTCCCATTATACTAACAAGTAGCACATGTGGCAGCAGAATTGACACAGGAGAGGCCTCCATTCTGTAGCTTCTTACCAATGGAGTTTCTTCAAGCTTATGAGCATTGTCCAGGACAAATCTTGGATTGCTTTAAATTTTCTTTGTGTACATTGAGACTACGGACTGTACCCAAGGAAGGTCCCTATACTAAAGAGCTTCTTAAATACTTCAAACCTAATTTCATTCTTTATTTGCTTCTGTTTTCCAAAATAAGGTATTGCCACTCTTCTCAATGTAGCATGCATAACTTTGAGAAATATAACTGCTAGGAAAGTGTTGCATTTTTGCAGTTTTCCCTTAAGAAAGCCAAGTTAGTAGAGTAGCAGGTTTACTGTAAGCAGTATCTGACAGCTCTCTCTTATGCCAGTATCTCCTGGCACTTTAGTCTGCTGGCTCAGAAGTTGCTTTAACTACTCTGCTTTTGCCAAACTTCATTTTATCAGTTCATGCCTTCACTTCTTACACCTAAGTATGATATTCAGTGTGCTTTATTCACTCCATAAGTAGTAAAACAGCAACAGTCCCTTGCTTTGGGAAGATTATGTCAGTGTGGGATGATAATTTACTTAGTGACATGGTAGGCATTCTGTATGGCTGACATACCTACTTAGTAATTACCTCTTCAGACACAGAACTCAAAATACCAATACACTGAATTCCATTCGTTTCTTCAGATATATAAGATGCAACTAGGAGCCACACAAACTTGCACAGATTGGTCAAATCATGGTTATTTCTGTAACTAGTAATCCAGTTACAGAAGTCTCCATGGTAAAGAGGAATGTTTCTGTCACAGGAACTCTGTAATTACTAAAAGTAACAAGGTCAGCCTACTACCCCAGACTAAATGGACCTGCTTATAAAAGGAACAATAACAGAGAAAGAATCATCACGTGATGGATTCCTATGAGGTGTATACAGTTTCATATTAACTTAAGTGACTCAGTAGAGTTAGTCTCATATGTTGACCTTGACCTTTATCTACAATGCCTCTTGACTGCATGCCCACTACACACAGATCAAGGACAATGGATAGACATGACTGCAAATGCAGAGCTTGTCACAGAGTTGTTCCCTTTGTTCTAGTATCAGAGAACCTCAGATAAAATGAAAGGGAAAGTACCGTCAACTTTGGGTGCAATTACTTATGCCACTGAGAGTTAGCTTCTTTCTCCTGATTTATAACCTATTTTTTCCATGTATTCCAGGCTTCAAGCCATGGTAACTGGGGATCCTGGGGGCCTTGGGGACAGTGCTCCCGTACATGTGGTGGAGGCATTCAGTTTGCTTATCGTCACTGCAATAATCCAGCTCCTAGAAATAGTGGACGGTACTGCACAGGAAAGCGGGCCATTTATCGCTCCTGCAATGTTGCAGCCTGTCCAGCAAATGGTATGTTCCACAGCAGCTAAAGCTGCTTGATGTTGAAGTCTTTCATCCTGTTCTGTGGTAAATATTAACCTCTACTGGGAGGAAAAATAATGGTGTCCATCAGAGTTTCTCAAAAATGTACCCATAATGTTGAGACTTTACTTACATGAGCTACAAAGTCAGTGTAACCCAGCTCACAAACTTTGTAAACCTACAAAAATATGGTGGATACTGATAGTTAGCTTTCATAAAAAGGAGTCCCACTCTTGAAAAACAAACTGTATCAAAAAAAGGAGTTGTGATTAGATGCCTATAGTCATGGAAACATGGTTTAAATAAACAAGACTCTTAAAGACCCAAGAGTCTAATGTAAAGAGGAGTTATGGTATGAAATGAATATGATAGCTGAAACTAGTGATATTACACTGTCTTAAGGCAAATACTAATGATATGAACAATTCTCCAGCTAAATCTTTTCGACAAGAGCAATGTGAAGCAAGAAATGGCTATCAGTCTGATGCAAAAGGTGTCAAAACATTTGTGGAGTGGGTCCCCAAGTATTCGGGAGTGCTCCCTGGAGATGTTTGCAAGCTCACCTGCCGAGCCAAAGGAACAGGCTACTATGTTGTGTTTTCTCAGAAGGTAATGACACCTTCAGTAATTGTTTCAGTTACAGGTTTGGAAGGCTTCTACATTTTAGAAAGTTTTGTTGCTAGACTATATCATTGAGAATGATATATTTTGTCTAACCATGTGCTCAAAAAGAGTAATTGTTCTGTGTTATGGCCAGAGTTGACCTCAAAACATTTTTTCACTATCTAAAGTTTTAGGTGTATATGGAGTGTAATTGTGGTTTTAGTGCAGTCAGCACTAGTTTGAGAGCTAAGCTATAGATAAAGGCGTTCCTGTATTTACAGCCAGCCGTACACAGAGAATTTTTCTGGTTAAAAAGCATTACTAGCTGTAAAAAGCTGAATTTTGTACAGCCTGCACTGATGTAAATCTAGAGTAGCTTAGATGTGTAGCCAATACTTTATGTTTATTATTGCATGGCTCAACCAAGGCTGAAACGATTCCTATGTATTTCTTAGATGTGTTCCATTCTTCATCTAGATTTTTGAATTTTCATTAAGTCACGTTGATAAGGTGTTTTAAGGTGGTCAATTAAAAGGATTATTATTAAAAAATAAACAGTAAAACCATCATTATAATCAGAGCTTCTAATTTTGTTCCTCAGGGTAAACAGAGGAGTTATAAGCCAGTGCTTGGGGCCCTTCTGTTAAGGGTCTGCTGCTGCAGGGTGATGAGTGTTAGAGTACATCAGTCTTGGCTGACAGAGTAATACCAGTGCTCTGTTAACCATCAGGATAAATGCTAAGCAAGCAAAAAACTGTAAACTAGAATGATACACATAATGGCACCTTTAAAAGCACTCTGCATGCTTGCCCTTTTACAGAACAACTTTAGATGACTCATAATGTGCTGTGGATGAAGTATATAAGTGCCAATGTTTGCCACCCAAATGCATAAAGCATTTATTTTCCCATATCATTTTAACTAACAGTGTCTTAATTATTTAGGTGACTGATGGAACTGAGTGTAGACCCTACAGTAATTCAATCTGTATCCGGGGGAAATGTGTTCGAACTGGTTGTGATGGGATCATCGGCTCAAAGCTCCAGTATGATAAGTGTGGTGTGTGTGGAGGAGACAATTCCAGCTGCACAAAAGTCATGGGAACCTTTACAAAAAAGAGGTAATACTCTTGAATGAAAATAAATATATGCTCTTGTGAAAGCAGAACAATTTTATAACAATAGGTAGAAATAAGGTTAGGCATGGTAGCAAAAGCTACCGATAATGCATTGCAAAGATGCAAATCTGGCTGTGTCACATCTCTGTTTATAACTATCATTCACTTTAGTCCTGAGTCATCCCAAACAGATTAATGGCCTAAGTTTTATTGCACACCTGAGATGTTTAGAATTACCCTCCAAGCAACACAGGCACATGCAATAATCATATAGACAAAACATTGCACCCAAGTCATGTTTGACTTAAATATCTCATTGTTCCAAAATATCATTCTATATTCATGGGCTCCAGATCAGTCAATATGTAGTATACTTTATACCAAAAAGCTGAACAATTTAGAGCAAAGTAGGTTATGAAAATTGATTTTTGTTCAATTAAAAATATTTACAGCATTTTTTAAATATTTTTTTTTTACCAGCATCACTACAAGATGCTGTTTGAAACTGGAATAAAACTCCAAAATAAAAATGGGCAACCCACCCCCAAAATACCTTTCACCTGGCAATGTTTCAGAGTACCAGTGAAGTCTGTACAGATTACATGTCTCAAGCAAACCCTTCCTTTATCTCAGGAGTGGCCAATTTATGGCACAGGTGCCACAAGTGGCATGGGCAGCCTCTCTGTAGGGCACATAGAAGATCAGGGAGAAGACAGGCAGCACGGTGGCAGATAAAGCAGGAAGCAAAGCAGCAAATTTGGCAGGGAACACAGGTAAGGAAGCAGAAAGCAGAACAGCAGATCAGGTGGGAGAAGAGGATTGGAGTGGTACATGGAGAGGGTGCAGGGATAATTTGTGGCATGCCTGAAAGAAGGCCAGCCTCCACCACTTTACCTGAACACCTTAATCTATCCTCGTGCCTTTATTGAGGCATATATTGAAAACTAAGTTTTTATTTTCATAGATCCTAAGACCATGTGGTCCTGTCATGATCTAATTTTATCTTACAAAAGCCAGAGACTTTCATTCAGTCATTCCTACATCAGTTTAATAACCTGTGGTTGGATTAGATCATCTTTATAAAGGCATACAATCTTAACCTCATTGTACACGACAGGGAAGGGGACTGACATGAGAATGGGCACCTGATGCCCAAAAGCTTGTGCAGCACATTGCTCGACTATACAATTGGTCCAATAAAAGACATCACAAAAATCCTTGCTTCTCATACCCTGCCTGGATTATCACAGCTACAACATTTTCCAAACAAAACATTTTTCCATTTTCTCTCAAAATTCTCACAGTGAGCTGGAAACTACCTGAAGTTGAAACCTAATTCTAGACAATTATCTAAAATGGTTGCTAACAGACAAAAATGGCTTGGTGGGTTAATTCATTCAAAAAATAAAATAACCATGAAGTATAAGCATAATTCTGTTCCTGACTATAACAAGAATTATTCACTTAAGTATGCCAAAACATCTCTGGCAAAAAAAAATTGCTTTCTTTGTTACCTGCCAATTATATAAACCAAATCTCCTCCAATCTGTAAATATTGAAATATCATAGATTTCAGAATGAGAGAGAAAAAGCAGTCTGAGACATACCACATACATTGCATCACTGATCAAGGACAAAATCTTGGCCCCATAGACACGAATAGCAAATCTTCATTGACTCAGCAGGGGCAGAATTCCAACTCTAGAAGACCCAGTTTCTATGGTCTTGACTCACACAGAGAACCACTTTCTTCCTCAAATCATTGCAATTGAAATGAGACTGCCCTGAGCCTAGAGCATACCTCTCCAGAAGTAAGTATGATGAGTATGACAGAATCTGGACCTAAATGAATAAGAGAAGCAGCCACACTTCAAAAAGAACCAAGTTAAAATAGCAACAATAATAATGTTTCTTTTTTTTCAAAGGGAAGTTTTTGTCTGGGGCAGTTCTCTTTAAAAAAAACAAGATTTTTAGTCGAGTGCTTTTTAAAAAAAATAGACCCATCTTTTCACCAATGTTACGGAGCTCCAATATTATATTTTGTTTCTGTCCAAAGAAAAGAAATGGCTGTTGTATTTCTCTCTTTATAGCACCCGCTATTGTAAACTTACCTAATGCTTCCCATTCTTAAAATTTCACATAGTACATTTTGCCATCACACTTTTATCTTTAAAAGTGAAAATGTCTATGTCAAAAAATATTAAGGACACAAATTCAAACAATCGGAAATTATGACATACCAAAAATTAAGGCTATCCATGCCTTCTGGTTCATGTGCATTATGATATAGGCTTAATTACGTGTTCACGTTCTAGTTTATGCATGGACAATTTAAATTTTGATGCTTATTAACTTGATCTTTTAATACAGATGTTTAGTGTCTCTTTTACAAAAATATAGATTTATAGATGTTAGGATCGGAAGGGACCTCAGTAGGTCGAGTCCAGCCCCCTGCCCTGGGCAGGAAAGAGCGCTGGGGTCAGATGATGCTGAATGTAGACATTTATAGGCCTGATTACTCCAGTTTAATGCTTGTTTAAATCAATAGTTATATCGGCAAAACACTGTAATAACACAAAGATTAATCTAGAGTAAAAAAGTTTATTAGTCTTTACTTAAAAATCATATATGTAGTATTTCCAGCACCAGCTAATTTATTAGAAAGTTACAAATTAAAAATAATGTGTCTAAAGTCCATCTACTAGTTTGTAATTTATGTCTTTATTTATTTGTAACCTTGTTGTATTATTGAAATAGTCTAGAGAACTTGACTACTCTGTAGTATTCTAGTTTTGGCATGCTTATGACCTTGGATATGATTTAAATATCTTTCTGCATCTATATTTAACTACAATATCTTCCAAGTCATAACTGATAAATGAAGATGCTGTAATTACATAGGTTAACATTTGGCTTTGCCTCTTATTAGACATTTGGCAATTAGCCTTTTGCTTTATGAAGTTAAAAGTAAACATTTTTTTCTCAGTGATCAAGATTATTTTTAAATGCTTCCAAGGTGCCTCTACACAGCTGTTAGTTTGCTCACTCTTTCCTTCATCATAATTATAGCAAAGCCGTAAGAAACAGCTGTAACCAATGCATGTCTCATTATCTTTCCTTGGCAGATATAGTAAGCTTCGAATTTCATGTCTCCCACCCTTTGCTCAAATACATAAGCTATCAGTTATTGTTCATTTTTCTCAAATCTGACTCATATAAAATTATTTCTAAAGTCAAAGATTAAATAATTTCAAACAAATATAGGAGAATTTTCTTCAAGGACACAAATACAAAAATCAGATAATGATAAAATATGACAACTGAATCTCAAGGCAAATGTATTCACAGCATGATCCAAAACCCATTCAAACAAATAGGTATCTTCCCAGTGATGGCAGTAGGCTTTGAGTTAGACCTGAAAGCATGAATGTTTGTTTCCCACTAGCTATGTAACACATTCTTTTCTTTCTTTCAGTAAGGGATACACAGATATAGTGAGAATACCAGAGGGGGCAACTCACATCAAAGTCCGACAATTTAAAACTAAAGACCAAAGCAGGTTCACAGCTTACCTAGCCCTGAAAAAGAAAAATGGTGAGTATCTTGTCAATGGGAAATATATGATCTCCACTTCAGAAACCATCATTGATCTCAATGGAACTGTTATGAACTATAGTGGCTGGAGTCACAGGGATGATTCCTTGCATGCAATGGGACATTCTGCCACGAGGGAGATCCTTATTGTACAAATTCTTGCAACTGACCCAACACAACCAGTGGATGTTCGCTATAGTTTCTTTGTGCCAAAGAAGCAAATACAAATGACTAACTCTGTCACAAGCAACAGTAACAAAGTCACCCCACAGCTCACTCAGCCACGGTGGGTAACTGGACCGTGGCTTTCTTGTTCTCGAACATGTGACACAGGATGGCACACTAGAACTGTTCAGTGCAAAGATGGGAATGGAAAACTTGCAAAAGGATGTCTTCTGTCTCAGAGACCATCAGCATTTAAACAGTGCTTGCTAAAAAAATGTTAACCTGTGGTGGCGATTTTCTTGAAAAAAGAGATCTGGTTAAGACATTGTTGACATACTGGTGTTAGTTCTATCCAGGCAGAGAGAAGCCAAGGCTTCAATATATTTACATGCAGCCTCAAATTATGGGCAGAATCTGCCTATTTGGACCAAATGAAGATGTGCACTGCTTTAAGGGATAGTAGAATGATATTGGTATGTCAAAGAAACTAAGCATAAAAGTTATAATAAGCCCTCTGTGTCTGCAAAAAAAAGGAGGAAAAAAAAAACCCTGAAGAGGAAAAACCAGTGAATGGAAGATCCTAGGAAGGTTACAGAATCATCTCCCCTTTTTCACCTACCTCTAATACCTTAGACAACTTTGTCATACTTACCCATGATACCACAGTAGCTTATTTTATACTGTTTGTAAATATCTTTCATTTGGTATGTCACTTTATATCACTTGGTTCTATTAAAAACAATATATAAGCAAAGTGATTGACCAAAGTATGTCTGCAGCCATTTTTCAGAAATGGCTGTGGATGTTTTACTGGAAAACAAAGAGCTTGCTGCTGTTTTTAAGATTTAATAGATTTTTTCTGACAAGAGGAAATACATTTCCATTCTAGGAATTTCCTGACCACAGAACTTTATTCTATAATAAACAATGCCTTTCCACCCAGAAATTCTCATACAGGGAACATCTCAGCAGCCTGTAGATGAACAATCGCTGCTGTTCTGCTTCTCTGTATGAAATAAAGACATACTGTATTTTGTAAAAAGTTATAGAACCAAAAACTACAGTTGAGATAACGAAGTGTCTTCTAACTCAGACTGTTCTCAACTGCTTTGTCTGTTATTTTCTCTATGGTTTCCATCTGAAATCTTACAATGTGTAATTACCTATACCTATAAAGGTCAAAAAACACAGCAAGCAGTTAATAGCATTTTATCAGTGTTTTGTCCATCATGTCTAACCCTGGTATCCCTTTTACCAGCAAAAGTTTGTCATTACTTGTCTTTTTTGTGTGGTTTGTTTGGTTTAAAAGCTGTAGAAGTCATTTGGGTTTTGTACACCTTGCATATTTGGGAGGTTTATGAGTCATTACAAAGTCAAACCACATGAGGATGTGGTGGATATAACTAATATCAGTAAGACTATTTCCACAGAGCAGGCAGCAGTTTGTAATGTCTTTCAGCAGCCCTTTCCAAATGGCATTTTTGTCTGACAAAAGACTGCCACTGCAGAAGAACATTTCGTGGCAAGGTGAATAGCATGATACAAAAACTATCCAAGTCTTTTCTTTTGAATTCTGCAAGCTTTTGTCAGACCCCAAAACAATATATTTTTGTTAAAGTCTCTACAACCTGTGATGAAAATAGAATCTGACCAGTCCCCTATCCTCTAATTTGCCCACACAGTCTGAGAATATGAAATTACAATGGGATTTTCAGAACAGCCCAAGAGAATAAAATTCAGTGGGATTTGGGAACTGAATTCCTTGTAGGCTCTTTGGAAATTCCCAGTTTCAGAGATTATTAGAAAAAAAAAACTGATCTGTGTCCCTATCACAGAAGGAAAATTTCACTTCAGACTGGCGTAGACATGCTTCAGTAACTATGAACATTGGAAGCATGGGATCATTTCAAAATAGCTGATAATTTTTATATCTACAGAGATGAACCTTGGAGAATCACCTATTGTTGTAGAATATTTTAAACAGGGGGTGTTTATCTGTGATAGCAGAATGCAAGGATAGGCCAGAAGGAATGAATCTGAGTGACTGCTGTTGGTAAAAACATTACGGCCTGATTTTTACAAGTAGTCCTAAGCAACAAAGGTGGATATTAACGAATCCTCGAAGTTCATTATTGGCCCATCTCTAAAGTAATACGGTCTCCACCCCAGGCTCTAAAGAATTGCAAATGTGTAGAAGCCACTTCAAAACTGTCTATCTCCCTCCCTAGCCATTAAAACAAAGACTGCTTTATGCCCCAGGGTGGCATCCTCAACCACACTTCTCTGGGTGAACAATTTCCTAAACTCCAAGCAATAAAGGCATGTCACAACCTGGTTAATTAGCTGAGAGTTAGTTAGCATTATTTTTCAGTTGTGGTTATTAGCTTGCCTTATGTACCACACAGAGATGCACCATGGCTTTCAGTTTAGAAGGCAGCCCAGTCAGAGCAGTGCAGTGTGGTTGAGAATGCGGCTATGGAGCTTGGTAAGTTTACCCAACTCAGCCTAAGTACAGCTGACTGTCCTTTTAAATTATATTGTTTGAATGCTTCAGTGGATGCATTACTGAATTATTGAAAGGTTCTTAATAGAGAACCTTCATTAGGGAGAAAGCAACCACCATGTGACATGGATCACAGCATGCACTTGCCATATAAAATACATTTTGTTTCTAACCCATTTTATAATTCTGGAGCTAGCATGTGCAAGGATTTTTGAGTCAAAATAATCTATTAAGTATTAAATAGGGATGAGTAAATAATTTTGGACACTATTCAAATAAAATCACAACGGCTCTACAGTTAAACTATTTTTGTTCAAAATTATCTTGTTCCTAGAAAGAGTTTGTGTAAAAAAATCTGTATGAAAACAAACCACTATAGTGAATCATCCATCTTTTTAACTAAAATTTATTTTCCTAGCCTATGTAGTACCTTATAGTCAAATATTTGAAAATCGGTTACAGAGCATGAAATGCAGAGAACACTATTACCGCATCTTCACACTGGAGTTCTAGACTTGACTCCCGTCTGACTGTAGAAAAATGTAAAGGCAACAAAAGACAATACCTTACAATGTAACTGATTCAACTCCAACTGATTTTAATGGGCCTTGATTCAGTCTCAGGGTACCAGGATTTGTTTTTGTGGGAAGTACCCTGTCTCTCTCACTCTGCATACATCATGGAGTTACATGCAAGATTAATGTAGAGGTATACCAAAGGTGAAGGTTGTCCCTTACTGAGAAGCTGCCCATCATAGTAACAGTCATATGCTAGGTGAAGCTTGTGAAGGAAATATGGTAACTCAGGCATAGGAGAAGGATACAGAGTAGGGAAGAACAATAGAAATCTGAGCTGAGCTTATGGTGATGTGAATTTTGGTGTAAGTTACAGAGCAGGAGTAAAATGGACAGACTTGTAAGTAATAAAGCAGCATAAATTGTATGAATTTAGCACTGAGCATGCAAAAAAGTGTAACATAGACTGAAAGGGTTAAAGGGGCATAGTTGCAAAAGGAGCAAGCTAACAAGTACAAAGTAAGAGGGTTGCCTGCTTTATTTACCTCTGTCTTCAGCTATTCTGCTATGACTCCTGTTCCAACTCCTTTTTTATGCACCTGGTGCAGGCTGTATGATTTAATATTTTTATTCGTAGTCTGATCATCTACATCCCCACACATAATATGACATCACTGTTTATATCACTCCTGAGTTTTGCCTAACGGGCTTCAGAAATTGATTTAAGCCAATGCAAAGCCAAATTTAAAAGCCAAAAGCGATGTGTTCCATAGGGAAATAATTCACACTTACTGTATCCAGTGCTAAATTCACAGCTAATATAAGGGGACACAATTCCACTGCTTTCCATGGATATAGGCCCACTAACATCAATGCTTTTTTATGTGTCTTCCTCTAAAATAGCTTATCACATGCTTAGATTAGTCATCCTCCTTATGACAAAGGTTTTCAAGTTGGGTTTGATGGTGTTTAAGAAATTAAATTTAGTTGCCTTCCTGTGGAAACAGTTTTATCCCATGGGGGAGGGGAAAGAACTCTGTGGATCAATCACAAATGTAAAAAAGCAACACAGCACTGAAAAAAAATAATTTATTGTTTTTACAACTGGTATGTGAATGGATGTAATGAATTTATTTATTCTTATTTAACAAAAATACCAATTGTGCAAATTCTATATTTAAAGTATGTTGCTATCGTTTCTCTTTCTTTTTTTTAATTTATGCTTCATGTTTGTGTTAAAAGTACACCTTGTGAGTTTACATAATGTTCAGCACTGGTTGCTTTTGTATGTTTTTCAGAAAGCTTTCTGCATGAAATAGGGGTATATGTCTGTATACTTCCTATGCTCACATACTGTATATTCACTTTCTGCTACAAGCTTTTTCTAAGAAAAATTGTGAATCTTTAGTTTTTGTGATTTAGGCTCAAAACTCCTTGTTCTACTTTTTTTCTAAAACCTCATGACAACTAAATCATAGCGTTCCACTGACCTAAAACACATTAAGTCCTAAAGAAATAAGTGCCAGATTCTCATTTCAGATACATGCCTACAGATTCAATTCATCATTCAGATTTTGCCATTCACTTAAATGGGAGCAGGATCAGGCTTGTAAGGTGCCTATTTATATGTGCATGTGCTTCCTAAAGTGAACTGTCTGAATTACCATATTCAAGGTATATGAGGAAGAAATCTTTAATCTTCCCTTTAAAAAGGACCAAAATAACATATGCTTTTTATTTCTAGTGATTGCACTGTAAAAATATGCTACTAGTAACATGACACTGTTCCCATTTTTCTATACGATGAAGTTTGCTATATTTTAGTCTCATTATATTCCAGAACTATGTACCTGATAAGATATGGTAAGACACACACAAAAAAAGTAATCCAGATTTGCATTAGTCCCACAACATGCCCTTGGAAAGCATCATGGGTCTTTGTTGTTTCCACTATTTGTCAGATCTAGGGCCTATTAATGGGAGCTGTATTAGACCCTATAAGAAGTTATTTGCAATATAAACAAACCTACAATTGCCTTATAATCATCTATTTTTATGATGCAAAACACCACTTGGATTACTTTAGCCTAATCTTAAGCAAATAATTTGGTCCAAATCATTCAGGTGTCTGTCATTTGGAATGTGTGTACAAGTCTCCGTCACTGACAACCAGATTCAAAGCCTACTGAAGTCAACGGAAAGCCTTCCGTTTTGATTTCATTGGGCTGTGCATCAGGCATGACTGAGCTGTGAGCAACACTGTTAATTGTAATGCCCTGCTCAACACTGTGTTTAGGTGAGTGATTCTCCCCTGATTTTACCAAGCGTCAATAAGACAAACAATGGGTTGTCATCTATCAGTGAGGAACAAGGAGTATTCTGCAATACTGAAAGAGCCAAAATCTGATATTTTACATCAGGACTGCAATTTGTAACCAAAGCAGGGTTTGTGGGGGTGGGGGGAGTGTTGGCTGGGGCTTTTGTTTTTGTTTTGTTTTGTTGGCACATCTCTGAGATAGTGCACAGTTTCCACCATATGAGTTGTCACCATATGTCTGTGCATTAATACTTGTTACTAAGAGTAAACTCAGGAAGGTTTTGTTTGTTACCATCCCTATGAGCATGCAGAATATTGGCTGGTTATTGAGTTTGACTCTACAAATCAATATCATTACAAATGCCTGCTGATGTTTATTCTTGTCAGTTCTATTTACTGTTCCTTAAGTTTTTCTGGTTTTTCATTCGTTTGCTTGCTTGTTTTGTGTGCGTGTTTGTTAACATGTACAGCTGCAGAGATACTTAGCATGGGGAAAATGTCAGTGACAGATCCTCAGCTGGAGTAACCAGCATAGATTCAAGATCCAGCCTCCAGCCCATTTTATTCCAAGTGCACGTTTGTGGGGATGGCAACCAAACTGTGAAAGAACCCAACTAGAATCTCAGTCTTCTGAGTGAATGAAATGAAAAGTCATTTTCTGCTACTCTATATTTCCTGAACATCTTCATAGATTCTTTGTCCTGCCTCTTTAGCTACTGTAGTTACATGTCAAAAGCAAAAGGTACACAGCTGTTTCATCTTAAAGTTGTTAGATATTTACAGTAGCTGTCAGGATATTTAAAACACTTCTGTGTATAGCAACTGAAATGTCATGTAGTCAAAACTGAACAACTAGGTATGTGTATGAATATGTACAGATTAACTATGCCTATATAGAAATATATATTGTATATGTGGATGGGTATAGGATATATGGGTCTCCCTTATTTTTCACACAGAATCAAATTCTGACTTAAGTTACATTAGTGTAAATCCAGAGTGACTTCATTAAATTATTCGATCTTATTGGAACTGCTCCAGATTTATAACATTGTAACTGAGAGCAGAATCTGTCCCAATGCCTAATAAATGGTTTGCACAATTCATCACATAAAATGTGATGTAGTATTATGTAGTATTCCATGAACACTGTTCATCATATGAAATATTACTCAGTGAAATGCATAGAAATAGATATTGCTAATATCTTATCAACACAGAAAATAATATCTTGAATTCAAATGTTTTTGGGCAGTGGTATAAATAATCTGTTTCTGTTCTATTGCATGGTCACTTAACATAACATAAAACAGGTAAAATAGAAACAAGAGAGGTATTGTAGGGAAGACTGGGGGAAGTACAAAATTATTTTGCTTGGTTTATATCACAAACCTCTTAATTTACTGCAACAGTGGCCTGCATATTCTTTAAAATATTACATCTTGCATTATAGTTAACTCAGCTGAAATACGAGTACCCTTTGGGAAACTAAGACGTGTCACTAAAATTTACTGTTGTTCTGATAAATGCCTAAACAAAGAGGATTCATCTCTTAGATCACTATGTCAGTCTGTTTACACAATAAAATAATTCATTAAACTAAATATAAATCCATTTGAACTGCATTGTACAAGATCTATACTGTACTGTGACACATTAAAGGCCAATGCTTTGTTTTGTAAACTCTTACATATGTATAATTTACCAGCTGTAATCTTAAATACTTGAGTATGTGGTTTCAATGAAAGTAATAAATACAAACTGTACCACAGATCCAAATATTCATTCTTTATAGTATGTTCACTATATTGGTAGTTTCAAGGTATGTCCCACGAAGGATATACAGCTAAAACAGGTTGAGCTCAGCCATTAAACAAGGCATACAACCTTTTCTCTTGTGGGGCTGTAGGTGCCTGGGAGTGGTCTGTGAAAGTGGGAATATTTGTGTGTGTATTCTGAAATCTAGTGAAATGAGCAAAGAGAACTTCATCCTATATCTGTTAAAGTGAATGATAAATCTCCCACTTATCACAGTTCTGAAGTAAGTAAACCTTAGTGAACTCCTAGGCCATGTTCAGATGAGCAGGGATATGTGCGTGCAGTGGCACAAATATTAGCAGTACAAATTTGTGCCACCGCTTTGTTCCACAGTGTATGCCCCTGCATATGTGCTTTGTTGCAGGACACATTGTCCCACTGTGGGCAAGCTGCCTGTGCCCAGCTCCTCCCGGCTCTGGGGTACTGCTCCAGCCAGGCTCCAAGGGCTGTGGTGGGGGGAGGAGGCTGGCTGGGGCACAGACAAACATAAGACATAATTTTGGAAGCTCCGGTACCATGGGTGACTGGTGGCTCCTGAGTCTGGGGGGGCACCCGCACCAGTGTCAGTGATGGGGATGGAGCTGGCAAGCATCCACAGATACTGGTGGTGGCATCAGTGGCGGGGGCGGAGTTGGCAAGCTCCTGCAGATGCTGCCAGCTGCAGCGGCGGTGGGGATGGTCTGTCAGGGGTAGCATATATCTCCCCACCCTCTCCTCCCACATGTCAGCTATGTCTGGTATATAAATTATCTCTGGCCATCAAAGAGTTGAACTGAGAACTGGATGGTTATAATACTATTCACTTTGCTCATTACACCTACCATAATAAAGCTAGGAGCAGACATTGCATTTGTTCCCAGACAAGTTGTACCTGTGTTTGTCTCAGAACAGAAACATCCTAGAATTAACATGTACACACATTATACTTCCAGTCAGGGTTTAGTGAGCAGCTGAAAGCATCGTTGCTTTTCTGCCATTTATGCAATGATGCAATCCTGGGACCACTGTTCAGACACACACATTCACAGACTTTGTAATGTTCTGAGACAAAGCATCAGCACTTATTAGGGCTGTGCAAAGCTTCAGTAGCCAATTCGATTCGGAAGAGATTTGGCCCAATTTGGTGGCCGAATCTCTGAATCCAAATCAAACTGGGAGACCAATTGTCGCGTGTAGGTATTATAAGGCTTTGGCCTCTTCTTTGTAGGTGCCTTGCTCACAAGCGACGTCAGGATCAGGTGCTACCTAGATGGTATGGATGCTGCCCTTACTCGCCTGCCACGTCTTTGATGTTTCTTGTTGGGGAGACAGTTCCCTTTAGGTGGCCCCTGGGTAGCGAAGAAGTCTCGATCCTGGTCTTTCTTTGTGGGGCTCCAAACCTTCCCTTTACCCCACCCTCACCACTTCCAAGACCTGGACAGACACTGCACCTGGCAGGTCTTCCCCTGGATGGTCTCTCCTTTCACCTGGATCGCTTAGCCACAGTGCATCAGTTCCTTGGCTTCAGGCCAGCTTGGGCTCATAAATTTGCCCTGTCTCAGAGTTAACTAGGACTTCAGAAATGAACCAACAGAAAACACTTGGCCTTCTGCCGACATGCCCCTGGGGTCCTATCTCCCAGTGTGTGCTTGGCCACTCAAACAAAGAAAGAAAAAGAAGGGGGGACTGACTCATCGCTTTTCTCCCAGTGTCCATGGAGGGTGGGGGGCAGCTGCCCTGTTTCCCACCCTGATTCATCTCCCCTGCACAAATGCTTCTGGGTCCCAACTGACCTGGGGTCACTCCCTGGCTGTTCCCGAGCAGGCAGGGCACACGGTTTCCTCACCGGGATGCTCCTTCCCTGCCAGGCTGCTTGCACAGGCTAGCAGTTTTCTGCCACCATCTCTTGCTACTGTACCTGTAGCAGTTCTGCTCCCAGATGTCCCCTGGCTCTTCAGGCTTGGGCTTCCTCTCTGCCCTGCCAGAGTCTTCCCATCGCCTCTCAGTTTTCCTCCTCTCCCCTCCAGTCGGGCAATCCTCCTCTCTTCCGCCGGCATCTTGGTGTCAGCATCCTGCTTCTCCCTCGCTGTCCATGCAGCTGTTTTCCCAGCTGCCTTTTGAGCCTCCCATGCTTCTCCAAGGCTCCGCCCAGGTTCCGCAGCTTCAGGCATCTCCAGAATCATGGAGCCTGCATCTGCAGTTCTCCCCAGCTGCCACTCAACCCTGTCTCTATGGTGAGTATTGGGGTGCCTGGGGCGGAGGTCTGGAACATCCTAGAGGGGCTTTTACTGCCCCTCTCACACAAATTAAAAGGTCCAAAATGAATCAGAAGCCAGACAAGATTCAGCCTGATTTAGAGATTCAGCCATAGACTAAATAGTCAGCAGTCCTCAAGGATGATGGACACAGCTTCCTCCAGCTGGTAAGTCTGTTGTGGTGGGCAGAGTGGGGAGGGAAGGGGCTTGGGAGGGAGCAGATCAACGCCCCCACAGCAAGTGATGGATTGGGGCTGGGGATGGGACAAGCTGCCCAGTGACAGCAGAGGTGGCGCGGGACTTAGGGAGGGGGTGCTGAATGTGGGCACAGCAGCACTGGGAGTGGGGGGCTATGCTCTGCTGCCAGTGAATCATTTCCTATGCCCTGTCCTGCATTTCTCAGACTTCTATTTTCATTTTTCACATTAGCATTTATGATAGTTATGATAAAATGACCAATATTCATTATACACAAATGAAATACAACATAGATATCAATGTAAAGTTTCAAAAATTTCCACCTCTGTTATCTCATTACTATTAAGAGACCGTTTTATATCAGGAAAATGAAATTGTCAGTCTTAATGTGTTTTCCATGTATTCCCAGTTTTTTTTCCAGGGCTTCTGACATTTCACCTCTTCTAAAACCATATAAAGTTATGTGAGAGGAGAGAGGACTCCATTCCCTATGGTTCAAAAAACCTCAAAATATATAAAATGTTAGATAAACTGTAAGATGCTTAAGCAGTTCCATGCTTAAACAGAAAGACTGAGGCATATTTGCCTATATTATAGCCTCATCTCATGATGTCATGTGCTGTGAAACTTAAAAGTAATATATATTATTTAAAGCCTTAACTTGGTCAGGTTGAGCAGGGTTTAAAGTCCATTATTTTCCACAAGTTTAGAAACAGGAAAATAAAGTATTTCCTTCCTTCAGCAAAGCCAAGGCAATTTTTCAAGTTTCAAGCTCTTTTCCTTTCTTTAGTCACTCAGGTAAATTGAGTGTTAAATGAAAACACCTGGACATTTTCTCTAACCACTGTACCAGAAAGCTGTATCATAGCAACCTAAGAAGTAAGCAACACCAGAAGGATAGGAACCAGGCTAATGGACTCAAGCATCCATTGCTACTGGATTACTACTACTAAACTACTACAGTAACTGAGAGCAATCAGGTAACTATGAGCAATCAGGTAACCAGGCAAAGCCCTGGTTACCAGAGCTGGTGTGGGGTGGAAAGAGAGCCCCTCCCCACCTCATAGATGGGCTCCCTGCAGGCCTGCATGGTGGGGAGGCCCTTTTCATTTCCCTGCCCAAACCTCTTGACAACACTCCTGGAGCAGGTGGGGAGGGGGGATGCCCCCCAACATTGCAAACCTGGGCCAGCTCCCCCCAGGACCCCAGCAAGGGTAGTTGGGGGAGGGTCCTGCAGCAGGAGGGCTCTGTCCCTTCCCCACTCTCCCCCAGGTGCTGCTGACATTTGCCAGCTGGCAGGGAGGGGAGCAGGACTTGAGAGAGGGGTGGGCTGGCAGCATAAGCAGCACTAGAAAATATTATTTGGAGAGTCTGGGCAGTGCAGAGCATGCCCACCTGCCCCTGCTCCTCTGTCCTGCAGGGTTGTTCTGGGATCAGTGTGTACTGGTGCTGTTCACACGACAGTGGAGGAGCATGCAGCGGGAATACTGGGCATGGTGATGTGGCACCAGTGATGCTGGAGCCACTGTTACCAGCCCAGTTTGTGGGGGCCAAGCCCTGTTAGCCCTGGCCTTCCACTTTTTATGGCTGGCATCCTCCTGGGAGGCTGCTGGAGTGCCCCCACCTACTGGCCTAGGCCAGTGTTGGCAGGCTCTGAGCCCCACCTACAAAGCAAATGCCTGTTAGGTTCAATGGCACTCTAACTCATGGCACTTTGTGTAAAGCACCATAAGTTAGAGTGCCTGCCCAACAGGCTGCCTGCTCTTGTGTACACTCCCATAGAGTAATGGCTGCAGTATGAACTAAGAGAAATGATCTCCATAGCAGTGCCCGTTTGAATAGCCTCAGATGAGTTACATCTTGAAACTAGCAAAAATCCACCTCTGCATTACAGTAATAACATGCTGAAATCCTGCTGCACAGTGGATCTGCAAATGAACCTGGGTGTCCAGTAAAGGTGGTCTGTAAGAAAAATTTACTGAAAACTTTAGAGATTCTTTAAAGTGGTTGATTTAATATGAGCGGTGGAAGTAAATTTGCCCAGTGGAAGTAGTCCGGAGTAAAGACTTATTAATTACTTATTAATGTTTTATCCAGGAAAAACACTGTCACATGTGTTCTGTGTGGGCTAAGAGGAATGTTTTCCCACTAATATGTATGTGGCAAACTAAAAACGAATGTCCATGCAGTGGGTTTTTGGATGACATTACGTGTTTAATATACATTGCATACACTTTCCAAATGTATAATAGCTTATTTATCATGGGTAGAAAAAGAGGACAGAGATAATCCAGATAGCTAAGATACACTCTGTAGGGTGAATCCATGGCTATGGATACAGGCTCTTTTGATAGGAATCTGAGCTATGAAAGGATGTACAGAGAAAGGACCCACCAGCCTAATCGTTACATGCCAAAATACACAGTCAGAAACTTGGCCATAGCAACAAAACCTATTTCACTTCAAAAGGAGAGGAAAAATTGCTGGAGTTTTCCCTGTAAACCTCAACCTCTTAATATATAC